TTGTTGCGTCAAGAATTTTGAATTTCAAATGAAATTCTATTTCTTACTTTTGTTTTGCATAATTTCGATTCGCTGCAAGCGACATATTGCGCAGCATTCATTCAACACTTCTTTTTATATTGCTTGAAAATGTGCTGAAAATAAAAAAAAGAAATGAAAAATAAAAATATAAAATATATATAAGTTCTCTAAGGATAAAAGTTGTCTTATACGAAATCGTGGGTTGAAAACGTAGAAGGAAATTCTCTGATGTAGTACCTTTCATAGATCAGATATAATATTTACCTAATCTGTATTTTATTTAGGTACTTGAAAACCGTAATGAACCATTTTATGTCACACAAAAAAAAAAAAAAAAAGGAAAAGACATATTTAAAATTATGATATATCCAAATGGCCAAGGACCACTTCTTTACGATCTCGACATAAAAAGCTGCAGCAAATTTTCCCATTTTGTGGCTGACTTCTGTCTCTCCCTCTCTCTCATTGTTCTCTCTCACTCTGTTCGACTCTGTTCCTGAGCTGGTCATAAGCCAAATTTAATTTGTTCGCATATGACATTTACGTGGATATTCAAATAGCTTCGTTTCTGTCATACTTCAGTGGCTTTGATGTATCCGGGGCAGAGCAGAGTTGGGGCTTTCGTTGCAAAGGGAAAAGGTTTCGCTAGATTAATTTAGGGTCATGCATATAACATCATTTTTTATGCGAGTGGCTTTGTGCACGCTAGCTGGCTGGCAGTGTGGGTGGGTGTTTGGGTGGTTGTGCAACCGCAATCAAGTGGCATAGAAGCTTTTTATGTCACAGCCCAAAGCTGCGCATATGTGAGTCTTATTATTTATTGGCAAAACTCTCTTAAAGATATTTTAGCTTGAAGTCCCTTTCTTTGATGGCTTAATCCTTCGCGGCAGCAAAATGCTTTTAATTTATGGCCAAACCAAGTCGCATGTGTTTTAGCAACTTTCTTTAATTATAAGCACTTAAAACTAGTCAAAAACCTGATGGATTATAAATATGAGAAATTTGTTACATGAAACGAGCGTTGCCTGGCTGCATATCATGGGGCCTTTCGTTCAAAATCAGAATCAATTTTCGTCTGGGCTTCTCTATATGTCGAGTCTCTCTGAAGAGTCCTGCTCTGCGCTCCACATGATGTCCGGGTATTACATTTTGTGGCTCCCATCTGATGGGTCTCCTGATGCTGAAGATGCGCAGCAGGAGTCGCAGGGGTTTGTGGCGCTGTTCGGATATGCCGCAAGTCTCTTTATCATGCGCCTCGTTCAATTTATCCACTTTGTAATAGGCCTTATGCTGTGCATTTGCTCGGCCCGCTGGACAGCTTTGCAGAGGCTCGTCCAGGGAGTCCAGCAGTCTGTAGGCGCCAGCAGAGCAGCAGCTCCAGGCAAGGATAATGGTCATGAAGGCCCAGAGAAGACGCGTCCTCATCTCACAATTGCTTAAATTGAACTGCGTCGGTAGTTAACTATCTCCAATATATATGACTTTATATATTTATATCAATGACTTATGCCTTGAACTCTGTTCGAAAACAAAGTCAACACTGCGCAGAATGCAGCTGTGTCAGCAAAGGTAAATATTTTGAAAAATAAAGGGGAAAGTTTACTTTTTCTTTAAATGTATTGAGCTCTGCTGAGGAGCATTTGTAATCCCTTTAAATATTACCGAGAACTCCAAGTAATTTCAAATCAAATCATTTCCAATTTTTCTATTTTCATACCTTAACAACCGATATACCCTGTCTAACTGCTTACAGTACAGGGCATGCAATAAAAAAAGCAGTTAAACGAAATGGAGTACCCGCACACGTAACTGTCATTTGTATTGCCGGCGCCTGGTTGGGGCACGCCTTCATCCTCACTGACTTTGGGGGGCGACGGGGGTCCTCTCTGGGGGCCTGTTGCGGAAATCAGCGTAAGTGACAATCGCGCGTGAATCTGTTACCTTATAAAACTGACATGAATTCTAAAAGCGTTGCGGCCCGGCACATTAACACATTTTCATCTCTGCATATCCCGTGGCACTTGCCAAAGTGGGCGGCATAATTTTTTAAGTGACTTCCTTTATTTGCATTTGGGGATAGGAATGAAGCAAGCGTCAAGTGGGAATTTGACTGCATATATTAAGCCGAATAGACACTGAGAAACTTATTTAGTGCGTTTCCTATTTGACTTGCAATTGCATAATCCCCATTTGCTCCTTGATCCAGCTCACGTGGGGGCTGATTCGTGTAAAGGCGTATACTTTGTGCGCCTCGCAGGCCTTGCGGGCATACGAGAGGAGGCCAACCAGCTTATGCTTATTCACGTCTATTAGAGGTGCACCCGAGTCGCCCTGGAAGGTATCATACTCGTTATATATTAGAAATTTCGACAGTCGTACTTCCCATATAAATACGCACATCACAAGCTCCACGAATTCCCGTTGTGTGGATCGCACAAATTTCCGAATCAGTCAAAAATTTAAATCTATGATCTACTAAGCATATGTCATCTTTTATGGTGCGGAACGAGACAGTTTCTAGGTTCTTTGGTATGCCTGGTTTGGTGCGACCCCAGCCGACGAGCAGAGTATTCACATTGCTGGGTTTTCTAGGGGTATCCCGAAAGTCTAAAGCTGCGAATCGAATATTGTCGATCGGTATGGGTGTTGCTAGCTTCAGCAATGCAATATCATGGCCCTTCAGGGGCTTGAAATTCGGATGTTTTCTTAAACTGCTAACTCGAAAACGCTTTGTTTTCGCATTGAACAGTCGATTGCTGCCGGCGGCCACGAGATAATTTTTGGGCTTCAGCTTGGGGTATTTCAGAAAGCAATGAGCCGCCGTCAATACGAAGTTGGCATCCAATATTGTAGCGCCACAGAGATGCATAAACTTGCCCTTTTTGATTTGCAGTGATGCTACGAATGGATATGTTATTGTTGCATTCGGGATTCTCGCTGAGACTGTCACCGTTGTGTTAAGGGGACTCGCAGGGGATGTTGAACTATAAGGACTGCTGGTGCTGACACTTTGAGTCGTCTTTTCCGGTAGACGTACTGATTTTTTCAAATCAGTTTCTGATAAGACTTTGGGTGCATCAATTGAGATCAGTTGATCTAAAATAGCTAAAGAAAAATCGGATTGTACAATGCTTTAGCTCTGGCTGTTTTGTATACCTTTGCTGTTAGGCACCTCCGATCGAGTCCTAATGAATAAAGGCAAGATGAAAAGTAGAATAAAGAAACTGTGCCTCTTCATGGTTGATAGCAAAGTGAGGTTGTTAAATGAATGAAGTGTTAGATATTTTATGCAGAACAAATCGATCATATAATGCAACTGATACCCATTTGATTGCATTAGATATACATAGGACTGTGGTAAATTTTATTTCGTTATGGCTTTTGTATTGACAAGCAACCCATTTAGCTTGCTCGTACTTTCCTTTGATCATATTTATCGGGGCATAAAAGTAGTGAAGCAATTTTTCATCACCGGATGAAGTGTTCCTTTGGGTTCCATCTGCTTTTGATAGGCATTTTCCAATCCGTTATCCTAATGCTCCGTTGAGCTTCTTCTGGATCTTTTGGAGATCATATCCACAGCATCATGACCGATCCGTTTAGCTTTCACGAACAGGAGGTGTGGATCGATGCAGTCCTAGTTTTATTGAAATATTCTATATACTTAAGGAAATTGTTTGTTTCGTGCAACACTGTCTGTTCGGCTTTTAAGGAACTAAATTTTCACGCAACTTTCATCATCGACAGCATAAAACTAACATCGACTAGCCAGTGAGCGTTGCCATTATCCACTTACGTGGAATTGTTTCGTGTACATTGAACATGATTTACGATGACACATAAACAACAGCTTAACTTCCGCCTGAGTTTCATGCTGGGTGACAAAAGCCAAAAAAATGAAGAAAAATTGCAGCGTACCCTGAGATATTGACTAAAAGCCCAGCCCCCGTCCAGGCAGAGCCGCCAGCTTCACTTACCTTTTCCGCTTAAACACCCTCCAACTAGGACATAATGGCCAAATGCATTTGGAACAGGTTTTTCCGCAGGTTTTTCCCTTAGTTTTTGCCTTTTGATTTTTGCGTTTCTTTTTTTTTTTTTTTTTTTTGTGTTTTATTAGCCCAGAAGTTGTTCCTTAACGGTTCTCCTCTTTTTATGCCCTTATGTTCAGCCGTGCGTCCAGTTGCCAGGGCATTGTGGTCATCATTTTTCTTGCCCAGCCCCCAAATGCGAAGCATGTGTGGATGTGTGTGTGTGTGTGTGTGTGATATGTAAGGGCTTTGGTCAGGTTGGAAGCTGCGCCTCCTCTTTGTCCTTAGTCAATGGCTTCCAAAGGGAAATTTATTGTTTCGCCGGCGGTTTGAGTCAAAGTTGAAGCGCTTCAGGTGCACTTGGCAAAGGCGAGGGTGCAGGGTGCAAGGGCGAGGGGTGTCACTTTTGACATTTAAGATGCCACACACAATGGCCACTCGGTGGCATTCTCTAATTTATACGCATCGCCTGCATGTGACACCCGGCATTTGTGCCGGACATAAGTTTTTTGTGCTCAATCTATTTGCAATTCCGATGATTTGGATGGCCCGTCCGGGGGGAAGTGCTTGACAAAAAACTGTTGCATTGACAAATCTAATAAACAAATGACAGACAGCTGTGAGAAATTTATCGGCCAGGCATATGTGTATATGCTTGCAGTAGAATCTATAGCTTTTAGCTAATCAAATGGGAATGAGACCTGTAAGGCCAACCGAGACTGAGTCAACGACTTGCTGAATATATAATTGGGAAAAAATTCCAGTGTGATTGTTCTTTTACTTACCTTCGCAGTACTTATACTTATTCAGGTACTTGTGCAAGTCTTCATATAAATATTTGACTTCCTTCTGCTTTCAGGCTCTCGGGTCTTTATCCTTTCGATTGTCTTTGCGGCTGTTTGTTAATTGTTGTCAGCACATTGTTCAATTGTTTTATGGTTCATATGCATTGCACACCAACACTCACTTTGCCTAATTGGGTCGCCCATTATGCGAGCTGCAGAGCCAGTCCCAGGTCTCAGTTCTCACATCTCATTTCGCACTCTCTCTCATACCCAGCGCCTGCATCGTCAGCAGCGTGCAATGTTCCACTTTTATGTGTGTGTGTGTATGTGTGTGTGTGTGTGTAAAGACAACCATTTGACAGCTTCTATTGCTGCAGCGCCTCCCTCTCCTGCTTGTGCTGTCTTGCAGACGCCCACTGTCGTTTCGCTTAACTGCTTGAGGTTTTTGGTTAAATGCGCTGCCTTCATAAGCCATTAAGGCTAAGTGATTTGTTTTTGTCTGCCGAGAACAGCTACCCTGTCGCTTCCTCCCCCCCCCCCAACACCCCAGCCCTCCAACTCGTGCCGCTTCCATCTCTTAAGTCTAACACCTTGTAAATTGCCAGCTCAGAAAATGGTTTTCCTTTTTTCTTACACTCTTAAATATTCCTCGAGACACCCGAAGGCGGCACAATTGGAACGAACTAATTGTGCGGAAGCGCAGGCCATTTGCTGGTCTTAGTGTGCTCCACTTATGGGAGCTGTCTCTCTACCCCTCTCTCACTCTATGTATAAAGTTTAGATATATATATGATACACCCATACTAGTCCAACTAGTGTCAACTACTCGATGAAAACTCCCAAGTTCAAAGTTGGTGCACAAAAAGTTTGCACAATGCAGCAGAAACTTGGACAACAGATATGCAAGTTTTCACTCCTGCCAGCTTTCACATTTTCCACATTTCTTCTAAAGAAACTGCTAAAGTGTCAGGATGTGTAGTCCTGCAAGACATTCTGATTATATCTGGTCATTGTTTGGGCCTCGTGACATGCGTGACATTTGCCTGATGCCAGACCAGAGTGTTACAGTGTCAGAGTGTCAGGGAAGCGTGTGCATCTCATATCCCAGCGTGGAATTGGATTCTTGATAACAAAGGGTTGTACGACCATGTGTTATATCATGACGCACTGTATACTCTAACTAAGGGTATTTTCATTTGAGAGCTAAGCATGCCACGAGATGATCTTTCTCTATCTGTGAAGTTTGTTAGATTAAAGGATCTGCTGAATAATTTTAATGCTCATTGAATACACATAAAAATAGTTTAGAATCTTTGCAGACTTTTAAATAATAAGTATGAAAGGATTTGCTGTATGAAATTATTAGCTAGAATGGTATTTAATATTATAATAGCTCTATTCCTCTGTAATGGGGACACAATGTATTCATATATATTTCCCCATTTCAACAATCTAAAACAATATTCTTTGCATTCCCATTTTAAAGGGTTCTGAGTATACTTAAAAGTACTACTAGGAACAGTACTTTAATGTATGAACCATATATTAAGAGTCAACTTAACTTAATTTTAAAGATATATAAATAAGTTCTGAATCTTGCAAAGCTCATCTCATCAAGCCCACATATATGTACATACTCATATATTTACAAGGGTAGAGTATTTAGTATTTGGCACATCAACAGTTGCTTTTCTCTTACATTGGTTTTTCCAAGGGCTGTGGACATAATTTAATTGCATGCATGGGTGGGGAAAATTCTATTGGAATCTGAATATGAATCTGAATCTGAAACTGAATGAGAATCTCTGCTGGCAACTTTCACTAATCATATGCAAAAAGAGTAGGAATTAATCAATGATTTACAAGAACAATACGTGTGCACATGTCGGCAGCCGGCGGCAACGGCAGCCCAAGTTCCCTTGCCAACTGGGCTGCAACGTGGCCAACACCCGCTTGTTAGAGCTTGGTCCACCCATTGCCCAAGGGCAGCAGAGGCAGCAGCAGCAGTTGGTTTGCGTGCGAGAGGGCTCGGCTGTGGTTGTGGCTGTGGTTGTGGCTGTGGCTGTGGTTGTGGCTGTGCAATGAGCATGAACACAAATAAGGCGTCGGCGCTGATCCTTGTCAACCACCAACAATAATTTCAATGTGCACACAACGGGCATACGGACCGGCCACAGACCCAGCCACAGAGCCGCCACAGCCACAACTACAACTACCTCAACCACTGGCTGCAGCCGCTAATAATTCAATTAGTTGCCTCAAAAAGATGCCAAACTGTGATGCTGACTGCCACAGCTGCTTGTTGGCGGTGCGGGGCGAGCCGGGCGGTTGCTGTGGCTGAGCCTGGGTTTCCTCTTCAGCGGTTGCAGTTGCACAGAAGTTTGTGCGCTGCAGCGCAGCGCGGCTTCGATTATCCCAATGCCGCCGGCTAAATATCGCACCACCGCATAAATTTGCAGAGCGCAAGAGATGTGAAAATTGCTCAAAACTGGTTGGCAATCATTTTTGAATCAAACTCAGCTCAAACCTAAAAGTGAACATATGAATATTATGAAATTCTAAGGCTAAATGAATATATTTAATATGATTTAATATATATCCTATAATTATATAAA